GATTTCCTGACATCCATTGATCTCTCCAAGGTCTACTTGCACGATCCAGTTCGAGAGTCCCACCACAGGTTTCTGAGCTTCACCGACAATGGAAACCACTTCCAATACCGGGCTCTTCCATTTGGCCTGACGTCCGTTCCCAGGGACTGCAAGGGGTGTCACTGTTCTCATATTTGGGTGACATTCTGGTCAAAGCACCATCCTTCCAACAGAGCGTGGCAGCCTCAGCTCAGGTGGCAAACACCCTCAGGGAGCACAGCTTCATGTTCAACCTGGAAAAGAACAATCTCCACCCACCACAGACGCTTATGCATTTGGGCATGCAGACAGACACGATACGGGACAGAGCCTTTCTATCACAAGAGAGACAGGAGAAGTTATGGTCCCTGACCACAAAGGTGTTGGGAAGACACGAGGTGGAGGTGATGGTCCTGGGTATCTTGCCAGGAGGTGCTTTAGTGGTCAAAGTTTCACACTTGACCTTTGTAGCGGTTTCTATTGCCTTACCAGGACACGATTGCAAACAAAAGGTGCAAAACAGTTTGGTTGACAGAGCCACTGAAGAGCCAATTATGATGGTGCCTGGTACCCTTCCGCTCCCAACAAGATCTCCCTCTTCGAGAGCAAAAGAGGGTAGTAATGGCCACAGACACAAGTCTCCGGGTGGAGAGCACACTCACAGGGATGGGTCACACAGGGCCTCTGGTCCCAGGAGGAGGTGGCCAGGTGCATAAACATTCTGGAACTCAGGGAGGTGATGGTCCTGGCAAAATTCCTGGGAATTTTGGTATCTTGCCAGGAGGTGCTTCAGTGGTCCAAGTTTCACGCTTGACCCTTGTAGCGGTTTCTATTGCCTTACCAGGACACAATTGCAAACAAAAGGTGCAAAACAGTTTGGTTGACAGAGCCACTGAAGAGCCAATTATGATGGTGCCTGGTACCCTTCCGCTCCCAACAAGATCTCCCTCTTCGAGAGCAAAAGAGGGTAGTAATGGCCACAGACACAAGTCTCTCCAGGTGGAGAGCACACTCACAGGGATGGGTCACACAGGGCCTCTGGTCCCAGGAGGAGGTGGCCAGGAGCATAAACATTCTGGAACTCAGGGCTATCAGGCTGGGCCTGCTGGAATTCAGGGAGCTCCTATCAGGTCACCAAGTCCTAGTGCAGATGGACACTATGACGACCAAAGCATAGGTAAACAGACAAGTGGGGACCAGGTTCAGAACCCTACATGACGAAGCGAGGAGGCTGATAGAGTGGGCAGAGGTTCAGAAGTCCCTGAAGTCAACACATGTGGCAGGATAGGACAACGTCCTGGCAGATTGGCTGAGCAGACAAGTGCTAGACCAGTCAGAATGGGTGATGTGCAAGGTGGTTTTCCATCAAATCTGCGATAGGTTCAGGAGGATGAGGTGGATCTGTTCCTCCTGCCTATTACAGAGATACACAGAACAGAACTGCCTATTACAGAGATTCATGTCACGGACAAGATGTCCTCAGGTAGCAGGAATCTATGCACTAAGTTGTGACTGGCCCCATGGTCTACTCTGCACCTTCCTACCAACCCAGTTGATACACAGGGTGATCCAGAAACTGCTAGAACAAAGGGCAGAGGTAGTCCTAGCCGAGAAGGCCCTGGTTTCAGGACCTAAAAAGACTGTCTGTAGCGGAGCCTTGGCAGCTACCTCAAAGAGAGGATCTGCTGACGTGGGGGTCAGTGCAACACCCCCAGCTGGCTCTTCTAAACCTCAGCCTGGAGGTTGAGCAGGGTACACAGAGAGAGTTATAGAAACCACGCTAGCCTCTAGGAAAGGATCCACTAATAGTGTGTACAACGTGACCTGGCAGGTTTTTCGTGCCTAGTGCTCAGAGCAGAGCTTGGAGGCTTTAAAGGTATCGGTCAAGGGGATCCTATCCTTTCCGTAGGATGGGCTAGACTAAGATGGGCTTAGCACCAGCACCTTGAAGAGGCAGGTAGCGGCCAGTTCAGCAGTGAGGGGGGCATGAAAGGGAATATCTCTAGTTCAGCACCCCCACATCAGATGTTTCCTTAGGGGGACCACATAGTTAAACCCAGCTCAGGCTCACCGGTTTCCTACATGGAACCTTGACACAGTCCTAGAAGCATGGTGCAAGGCTCCTTTTGAACCCTTGCCGTCTTGCCCACTGAAGGAGTGACCTTCAAAACAATGTTCCTAGTGGGGATCATGTCAGCCAGGAGGGTGTCCCAATTAAGGGCACTGTCCATCAATGAGGAGCTCTGTGTCTTTCACGACGTGGCCAGACGTGGCATTAATACCAAAGGTGAATTCCTTGTTCCACAGTTCAGAGGAGACCATGTTGCTATCTCCTTCTGCCCAAATCCTAAACATGATAGGGAAAGGGAGTGGCACTGTCTGGATGCGTATAGAGCCCTTAGTTTTTACATTGACGGAACAAAACAGTGGTGAAGTCAGATGCCCTATTCGTGTTGTTTAGGAAGTCGTCCCAAGACAAACAGCCACCTTGAGCAGGTGGATTAGGGGTTGCATTATAGTGGCCTACAAGGCAAAAGGGTTGAAACCACCCAAGGTGATCATGGCTCATTCCCTGGGGGGGGGGGGACTACTTCAGCAGCGTATAGAGCCTTCCCATCTCTAGAGATAGTCTGCAAGGTGGCACCCTGGAAATCCGTGCATTCACTCACTAGACACTACCGCATAGACAGGTTAGTCTCGGCTGAGGATTCTGCAACCTTTGGCAGCAGGATTCTGCCACACGTCATATAATCCACAAAGCCACGAATCCCACCCTGGGGCATACTGCTTTTTTTACGTCCCAACAGTGAGGGCTGCCCCACTCCTAGGACCACTGGAGAATGGAAGATTTGTCTTCACTTACTGTGAAGCTTCCTTCTCGGTGGTCCAGAAGTGGGGCAGTTCTACCTGCCCAATCTTAGGGAAAGTAGTTCCGGGACATACATCGGAGCACTGAAAACAAGGAGTTCAGGCCTAAGTGGCCTTCTTCGGAGGCAGTACAGGTTGATAATACAGCAGAGGCTAGGAGGCTAGATTAGCCAAGGAAAGGCAAGTTGCCTTCAGGCCCTGGACAACACGTTTGAGCTCCTATAGTTCTTTTAGGCTGTTAAACGTGAATAAAGTAAAGTAAAGCAAGGGAGACCTGGTCAGTCATGCCAGCCTCTACACTGTGGCCTGGGTGCTCAGAGGCTGCTAGGAGCATTGGAGGGCCAGTGCTGGTGCCATGCCCACACACTGAAGCAGGCACAGCTGGGCTCAGGCAGGAAAGCACTGCTCACAGGTTGGGAAGCACCAGCCAAAGAAACAGGCCTCTTCTTTTGGCCTCTTCCAATAGGGTGAATAACGCTACGAGTGGCAAAGACCAGGGGTGTCAAACATACAGCCCGTGGGCCAAAACTGGCCCATCCAGGGCTCTTCTCTGGTCTTTACCCTCATTGCCAGATGACCGAGGCCCCGTCTCCTGCCCCAGATGAGTAGTGGGTGGCGGAAGTGGGAGGGTGGGCCACCAGGGAGATACTTCAAGGAAATACTGTAAGAGTGTTAATGTTTGAAGCATGTTTTTATTCTGAGTAAAAATAACGCTTGGGCTTGCCTGTGTCCTTTTATAAAATGTATATCATCTCCCATATCTGGCATTACATGTTATGGTAGACATGGCCCAGCCTGACAAAGTGGCATTTGTTTCAGATCCGGCCCTCATGACAAATCAGTTTGACACCTCTGCTTCTTTTCCTTCCTCAGCATTCAGCCTTTAGCCTGCAGCAGAAGGTACAGGTTTTAGGGCAGACCTTTACTGAGGCCCCATTTAAGCTTCCTTTTTTCCTCCAAAGACAGCTCATAGTTGAGGATATTCCTCAATTAATTAGAATTTTAGTGACAGGCAACTGATGACTTGTCAGAATTGCCACTCAAATTAAGCTGCAGGAATTTTCTGGTCATCTTGGGTCCAAGGCAAGACGTTGTAGCCCACAGAGTGTCCAAAGGAATCATCTTGGAATTACCCCTGCATAGCCCCGAACAGTGTCGGAGTAGTTTTCATATCACTGGGTCTCATCCTGCTCCAGTAGTGGATGCTTGAAGGAGCGTTCAGCATCCAGAACACAGAGGTCTTCCTAGTCCCAAGGGCCACCAGAAAGTGGCAGTTGTGACATGTGGAGAGAAAGTCATTAGTTGTCTGTGACTCTTTTCCCAAGAGAAATGCACAGTCCAGCCACAGTCGTGGAGCTTTCCTGTCACCCTGGCGTCTTCTGTGTTCCCTTTTCTTTTTGTCCATGAAATTTGTATGTCCTGCCATTTTGTTTAAAATCTCAAGATGAGCATTTGGGGATAAAGATAATGCCACTTCCTGTCAGCATGTTTTTAAGATTTGTATATATTGTAATGGCAAATTTAGGTCTGTGGGCCAGTCCCAGAATTTGCTATTCAGGCCAATAAGCATCATCCGCTTTGGCCTAGGACAGCGCAACACAACATGAGGCCAACATTGTAAGGAAGGAGTATGTCCGTTGAGATAGGCTGGGAGGCACTCGTTGGGGTGGTAGGACCCGTCTCATCCAGGCCTCTCCAAACCCCGCTGCGCACGGAGGATCTGGAGGGGGCCGGTCCAGTCTGCAGTTGTTGGGAGAAGCTTTTGGGACAGACAATCTTCTCCTCACCCTTCCCTCCCCACCCCCCCGGTCTTTGGGTGTAAGGGAACTGGAAATCCAGACATCTGCAGAAAGTCAACATATTTATCGCTGGTGCTTTCCATCCCTAGTTAAATGAATGAAGAAACAGTTACATTGAAATAATAAAGAAAATAAAACATCCATTTTTTATATAATTAGAGTGTATGTCACAGACTCTACTCTTGGTTTGAACTTGCGTGTTTGTCGAGAGCTTTTCATTTTGATAAAGCCGAGCTCCTGATTATGGCTTCTACAACTGGTGTGCCTATTAGGCAGCGGCATCTTACAAAAGTCTCTGTTCTGTGTCTCTTACAGGATTTCCGTATTCCAAATCTGCCTCTCTTCCCGACTATGGCAAGAATGGATTGCACCATGTAGGTAGACATAACAACATCTTGAGCAATGCTGTGCTTGGTCAGTCTAATGGAGCATATGGGTCCTCTGTGCTTCTTCCTGATACTAGTACAGGAGGGGCAAGACAACTGAAAATCAGGGGCCTGGTTTTTGGTAGCAGCAGTGTCAGCGATATGAACTCACATCAGCACTAGACGTGGGCAAACAAAACTATTTGCCAAAGTATCTTAATGTCCGATACCCTGAGGACTGCATTGCCCAGGGGGAAATAAAGAGCCAGGGAAGGCAGGCGGAGGGGGAGGAAGATATTCTTTCTTCCCACCTGCCTGCCGGCCAGCCGGCCAGCCGAGCAGCTGCCTGCCTGTCTCCCTCGCCGCCACGGTCATCAGCAGCAGTGGAAGGGGAAGTAAGGCAGGGAGGGGACTTCGTATTCAGTGCTCACCCACATATTTTAAGGTGAGAATTATGACATGCCAATGGTCATATTTCCAAATACAGAAAATAGAAGTTTGGCAGAGATTTCTTTCACATTGTAGAAATGACTCCTAACTATTAATACATCCACACTACAAGTATGCCGCATCCTCTTTAGAATCAAGTGAAATAAACGGACACCTCCAAATTTGGGTATTGTGTGACTAGTTTTGATCATTTTACTTCATGAAGCCTGCTGGTTTCAACAGAGATTCAATAAAGAAACATTTTAAAAGTAGTTTAATATATGAAGAAAAAAGAATCTCATGATGATTGGTCAAGGAACTAAGTTATCAGTAGAAAGAATTTGTGCTTTGATTTATTCATGACTGATTGATTTACTTTAATTTACCCTTCTTGTCCTCTGAAATGTTACTCATATAGCCAGCCCCTTCCCGTGTGGGTATATGTCCCCCCTGCCACCCGTTTCCTCCTTCTCACTATGTAGGATCTTACTTTTTCTTCAGGAAAGAGGCACAAAACCAAAACTGTGCTGTGGTCAATCATAAAGAAATGGCAGCTGTCTTCTCAGGGTTAGCTGAAAAGGTGTGCTGAGAAGGAGGTTAAACAGTGCATTTGTGGAGAAATAATTCCTTTTTGTCGAGGAGCACCCTGTTCCGGTCCTCTACCATGGCAAGGTCCCCACAGCGGGCTGCCCCAGGGGGTCCAACGTGCCATTCCAAAGCATCCGTGACAGCCGGCCAGCACCCTTCCTGAAGCTCAGCTGGTGGGTGGGGCTTTGGCTGGAAGGCAACGCTGTGGCTCAGATCGAGTGAGTCCTGGACAGAGATCTGGCAACAGAGTCAGTACATGAAGTGTCCTATTCCAGAGTCTGCCCTTGTAGTGAGGCCAGATCAAAACATAAGAACATAAGAGATGCCAATGTTGGATCAGGCCAAAGGCCCATCCAGTCCAACACTCTGTATCACACAGTGGCCAGAAATACCAGTGCCATCAGGAGGTCCAGCAGTGGGGCCAGGACATTAGAAGCCCTCCCACTGTTGACCCCCCCCCAAGCACCAAGAAGACAGAGCATCACTTGCCCCAGAGCCCCTATCTATACCTTGTGGCTAATAGCCACTGATGGACCTCTGCTCCATATGCTTATCTAATTCCCTTTTGAAGCCGTCCGTGCTTGTAGCCGCCACCACTTCCTGTGGCAGTGAATTCCAAGTGTTAATCACTCTTTGGGTGAAGAAGTACTTCCTCTTATCCGTTCCTCAGTACCCAAAGAGTTGGTCACTCGCAGAAGTGAGCCAGGCCAGAGGTTGCAACTGATTTCATAAAAATGATTTCATAATAGTCAAAGAGTACAGGAATGGTTTTAGTGGATGGGAGATGAGGAAGCGTTGTTCCAAGTCTGCCATGAATATGTTTGCCTATTGTGGTGCCATGCGTGTGCCCATGGCTGTGCCCTTGACCTGTAGATATCAGATCAAATCAAATTTATTGTTACGGTTTGTGACCAGCACAAGATCAGTTGCAACTGTGTACATGAACCCTGTAGATATTGGTTGTCACCAAATCTGAAATAGTTGTGAGTAAGCACAAAGATGGCTAAGTTCACTGGCAAAGTGGCAATGTGTGCTGTGGTTGTGTCCGGGATGACCTTACTGGTGGCTTGCAGTCCGTCCACCGGTGGGATGTTGGTGCGCAGAGCCTCGACACCCATAGTTGCTGGGATGGTGCTGTCCGGTAGGTTGTCAATGGACTGTATTTTCCTGAGAAAATAGTCAAAGAGTACAGTTTACAGAAGATGTGTACACATTTTACACATGAGGAATACAAGCAGAAATTATTAGACCAGTGTGCCTTCTTTTTCACACAAATGCACAGCGAATGTGTCCCATGTAGTGTCATAAGAACATAAGAGATGCCAATGTTGGATCAGGCCAAAGGCCCATCCAGTCCAACATTCTGTCACACAGTGGCCAAAAACACCAGGTGCCATCAGAAGGTCCACCAGTGGGGCCAGGACACCAGAAGCCCTCCCACTGTTGCCCCCCCCCCAAGCACCAAGAAGACAGAGCATCCCTTGCCCCAGCCTGAGAGTTCCTATCTATGCCTTGTGGCTAATAAGAACATAAGAGACGCCAATGTTGGATCAGGCCAAAGGTCCATCCAGTCCAACACTCTGTGTCACACAGTGGCCAGAAATACCAGGTGCCATCAGGAGGTCCACCAGTGGGGCCAGGACATTAGAACCCCTCCCACTGTTGACCCCCCCCCAAAGCACCAAGAAGACAGAACATCCCTTGCCCCAGAGCCCCTATCTATACTTTGTGGCTAATAGTCACTGATGGACCTCTGCTCCATATGCCTATCTAATTCCCTTTTGAAGCCATTCATGCTTGTAGCCGCCACCACTTCCTGTGCTGGGCCTCTCTGTTTCCCCACTAATATGTACATGGACGAGAGCAGTCATCATATTGTACTTGGTTCAGGCTCAACAAGAGAATGACCCCAAATCTGACCCACTTCCACTCACAGCTTTCTTGAAGACTTCAGGTCCCCCCTTTCATCACTCCAGCAGCCCCCCCTCCATGTTCCGCTCCAGTGAATGGCCAGGCTGGATGGCTGTGCTCCTGTGTGGTGTCTGCCGGGCACGCCTCTCCCCCCCCTCGTGCTGCTTCTTAACGCATTAGTTTTAAGTAGATTACTCAAATACAGCTAGACCCTGTTTGATCGGCTGTGAAAATCTATCACAGAGGCATAAAATCTTACAGCCAAAAGAGTGATAGGTCTGCTATTATCTTCTAATAAAGGAGGTGGTGTCGCCATATACTCTGTATTTTGGAGCAAAGGAAGAATAAAAAGATTTCTAGGCTCAGAAAAATGATTGCATTCAAAGGTCATGTGATACAAGGGGTCTGCACGGCCTGCCCCACCGCTGCGTGCTCTGCCACAGGATGGTCTCTTAAGATACTTCCCTCGCAAAACTCTAGAGGCATGTCAACCTAAAGGCACGCCTAAAGTGAGGAACAGTCAGATACGAGCAGTAATCAGGGAGCTCTCCAGGTGGAAGAATGCCAGCTGATTGCGTAGAGCGAACACGGGGTGCTCTACATGTTGTGCTGCACACTGGCCACGGGGCCATGGGTTGCCTCCCTGATAGCAGCCAGGTGGGACAGCAGGGACTTTGGGGCAGTTCTTCTCCCACCCCTCTCTGGGGAGCTGGGCAGGCGGGCCGGCAGCTGCAGCCAAAGCAGTGGGGCAGAAGACGGGGGTTCCCTGTCTCAAACTCTTTGTGTGTCCTGCCCTGGAAAGGGACTCCTCCTGCCAGCACATTGGCCCACAGGACAGCTCTGCCCCGAGCCATCTTTCGCTGCTCCAGCTAGACCCTTCCACCAGTTTTCTGAAATGCCCCACTTAGACCCGCATTGTCATCTAGTACCAAGCACCATGTTGGCTGGGTGACTTCTACCGTTGGCACCCTCAACCCGCCGGTCTCCTTAAATGGGCTATGTTTACTGCCCTATTTTCATTCTCCGTTTGGAACACTCTCCCACCAGTCATTCCCCCTCCCCCCCGGGGGGATGGGTCTGCCCCCTCCTTGTCAGCAGCAGCCGGGCTCAGCTCCAGCCCCAGGAAAGGCCTCCCCTCTGCCCCCCCCTGCCGGTCAGAGCCCCGCCCCCCAGCATCACTTCCTCACCCGGGCCGGGCCTGTCCGTGGAACCTCTGCCGTCCTCGGCTGCAGCTCCTTAAATTGCCTGCTGCAGCAGATGGGGTTTGTCTGCATTGCCCGGTGCTCGCTTTTTACAGACACGTTTTATTTCTGTTCTAGGGTGCAAACATGACGCAATATGACACAGACCAGGATTCTCATTGGGGAAGGAGAGGTAACAAAATGCCATAACATTATTCAGCACAGACGGTGAATTTTCCGCTTGGGGTGTGTGTGTGTGTCTTCTTAGCTGTGATAATATTGTATAGACCCAGCATTGTCACAAAGAATATACACATATTAATAAAACTCCTCAAAGCTTTTCGATTAATGATATGGTTGTGAGATGTTTATCAACCTGGACGCAGGTGACTGACATCCATGCTGTCAGCACGAATATCGTCAGAAACAGGCTGATCTTTTGGGTCAGGCAGGCTTCTGGGTTCTGTAGCTGCCCAACAGTCAAGCTGGATTCAGTGTGGCCCCTCTCACAGAAGCCTCCGCTCATGATTTCTTCTGAGTCATGGTGCTTCGTGTTGATAGGGTAATAAGGAGTTCTGCTGAGCCCCAGCTCGACTTCCACCCCAGAGAAGCAGCTGATGCAGTCTGACATGTTCGGCCCCCTTCCACAGTAGGGTCCGTGCAGCACCCCTTGCCTTGGTCCTTCAGCTCAGCACTGGGCTCAAGGGGTGTCATCAGGCTGATGGCCAAGAGGTGAAGGGTCCCAAACACTTGTGACGTACACCTCCAGTGCTTTCCTGCCTGACACTTCCATAAGGAACACGGAAGCAGAGCAATAAGTGAATAGCCCCAGGCCTTTCAGTGCATCCGTGCCAGAGAATTCAGAAGTACAGACCATCTTTCTCACAGTGCTCTCTCTCTCTCTCTCTCTGTTTCACAGGTACAAGACACACATACAGCAGGCACAGGACACAGTTGTGCAGATTTCTATTTGTCCCATTTTACAGATGGGGAACATTCAGGATCAGATATTTATTTAGCCCAGTGACACTTAAAAAAATGTAGCCACATAAACAATTGAGCATCACAGTTGGACTCCTCTCACAGTTGCCAGGCTCCAAGAATCTGGGCAGCAAATTAATACAAGCAGAAGCATCTCTTGGGCTGGAAGCATTGTTTCCATGAAGCCAGCTGGGCTTTTGTGAGTTTCCATAAACTCAGTCATCTGGAGGGGAAAAGGTCTGATGCAGGCCTCGGCACTGGCTTTTTACACAGTTCCAAACTGCAGATCTAACATCTTTTCAGAACACGGCCTTCCCCTTTGGCACCAAACGGTGCTGATATCATACAATTAGATTTTGCCAGTAAATAAGTACCCTGTTCACTTAGTAACTAAAGAAGGTAAAACAGATTTTCACGACAGTTGCTGTGGTGGGGGAGCATTGTGCCCCATCTGGATGTGTCCAACGGGTGTGTGTAGCAAGTGTTTGGGATAGCTGCATCTGTTGATTTTCTGCCTGGACACATCCCTAAAGTCTCCTAAACCAGCCCCATGTCCTGTCTTTCACATCTCCACTTTCTTGGGCTCCCCATTTCTCTCTGTGTTCCCCTTGTGCCCCTGTACCTTGTGCCCGTGGTTCCTCCCATCCCCAAACACATGAGCTGCTGCCTTGACTCTTGGGTCTGTGTCACTGCGGTGAGTCCTCATGGTCCTGTTCAGTTCACAACTTCAGAGGCTAAAGACAAACGTTTTTTAGAAAACCAGAGCCAATAGGCTCTATTACTAAATGCCATGACTGGTCTCTAATATTTCATAGATGAAGACAAGGCCATTTATTCCACAGCAGCTCGTTCTCCACTGATTTTAAAAGTCAAAAGGTGTATTAGTTCTTTTGCCAAAAGATTATCTCCCCCCCCCCCCCGGTATGTGCACATAGATATGTGGAGGCTTCCCTCTGCCATTCACGCACTCAGGGGGCTCTTCCGTAGTCTTATTTCCCTTGCTTGTGTATCCCTATTGCTTGGGGGGGGGGTCTGTTTTGCATGGATTTTGCTCCCTCTGGCAGTGATTCAGTATTACATCTCTATATGTCCTGCAGGCTTTTACGTAGGACACACAGCGATGTAATATTGAATCAACCACAAGATGGAGCAAAACATGGGCAGAAAAGGGGGGGGGAACCCTGGAGCAAAAGGGACACACAAGCTGGGGAAATGCGAATGCAGGAGAGCCCTGCTGGAGACCCAGGAGCGTCTCCCGACCCCCCCTCCTCTCGTGTCTCTGGCGTGGCTCCTCTGCTGCTGCCCTGCCCCCCCCACGCGGCCACGGACTCCTCCCTGCCGCTGGCCTGTGCTGCTGCCGGGCAGCCTCTTCCCTGGGTCTGCCGACTGCCTGGAGAAGAAATGTCCTGCTCTGTTTTTTGTGTTCATGACCTCCCTGCCACGCGAAGCTTCAGGCCTCCATTTCCACACGTTCAGCTTCTATGAATGGGCAGGACATTTTCCTCCAGGCCTGTCGGCATCCCTGTTCTTTCTGTTTCAGGCCTCTTGCATCCCCACCTCCGGGTGTTCTCGGCTTTGCCCCAGCTTGGAGGCTGTCGGGAAGCCAGTTGTTCCCCCACTCCCCCCATCGCACTGTGGTGCCCCCGCAGCACCTCCTGGGCTTCCCACGTCTTTGCTGTGATCGGCCCCAGCCCTGCTTGGCTGTGATGTTCCGGGGAAGGTCTCAGCAAAGGACTGGAAAGTCCAGATCTTTCTGGCCCCGTTTTTCCTGCCTCAGCCCCCACAGCAGGCATTCCTCCCCCACCACCAGAGGGCATTATTATTGTTGTTGTTGTTGTTGTTGTTGTTGTTATTGACAGTTGACATATTGTCCTAATTTTACAGTGTTAAAACAACCTGAGTATCAAGTTCTCAGAATTCTCAGCTTTTGTTTTTAAGAAAAAATTAAGCCTCCAGCCTGCTTTGTGGCAGAGATATGAGGCAGTAGGAGCAGAGCCTCCCTTAAAAACGTGAAAGTCTGGAATTCAACGAACCTGATAGATAGGTCGATAGGACGACCTGTCAGTGGCCATGTGTGTTGTTGTTGTCGTTTTTTAAATCCCCCTGCTGGTGCGGTGTGGAGGGGTTGGCTGCTGTAGGGGACGGAGGCGGAGGACATGATGCAGGGAAGCCTGCCCTGTGGGAGGCCCAGCGCTGCCGCCGCCCTGTAGCAGCAACAGGAAGCCACCCGAGCTGTCCTGTCCCCCCCCCCCGCGCCAAATGCCTCCAGCATTGGTGTCTGCCTCTGGCTGCTCAGCCACAGCCCTCCGCCAGCAGCTCCGTCTGAGGGGCAGAGCCGGGAGAGGTCGCTCTGTGCCAAAGAGAGCAGCAGATGTGCCTTCTGAGCAGCGGTGGCCCTGGGCACGGAAGCACTGAGCCGCTCCTGGGGCCGGGGTGGGGGTCCTCTGGGCAAAACGCCTCACCTCCACTGCTGCCCGTGAAGCCGTGTCAGGTGCTTTGCTTTCACTTGCTGTGAAGGCTCTGAGGGCCCCGGCAGAAGGAACCTTCGTCTGGAGGCAGCCCTGGGCAGTGCTTACCGCGGGGTGGGGTGGGGTGGGGATGTAGGAGTATAACCTGTTTAAACAAAAAAAACCTGGGTAACATTGTCAGGCAAAAGCCTTTTTGTTTGGGGTGAACAACCTGGGTCATCATTTCAACAATACCACAAGCACACTTAAGGAGCTCATACTTCAATAGGAAATTAACTGGCACATTTTAACCCACATTATTTCATTATTGTGAAACCAATATACACCAGGAAGGACACAGCCACTGGGGAAATGCTCCAGTTTTCCCCCCAGAATGCAAATCAGGGGTAGCCTAACTTGCTTAACGGAAGAGCCACGCAGAATAAGCGTCAGATGTCTGAGAGCCACAAGACATTAACAAGACATTGCACACACGTTTTTATTGAAAAATATGCAATTTTGCATTTATTAACATTAAACGAGATGGCCAAAAAAACACAAAAGGGGTAAAACAGATATTGATAATTATATTTATTTGTCCAATGATATTTGTTTGCTAATGATATTTATTTGTCTAAGAGAGAGAGGGGGGTGGAAAGAAAGCATGAAAGAGGTAGAAAGAAAGAAAGAGATAGAAAAGAAAGCAAATAGGTGGGGGAGGGGGGAAGGAAGAGAGAGTGAAAGAAAGGAAGGAAGGGAGAAGGAGAGAAAAAGAGAAAGAAAGGTGGAAAGAAAGCAAATAGGCAGGAGAGGGAGGAAGAAAGGGGGAAGAGAGACAGAAGAAAAGGTGAAAAGAAAGCAAATAAATGGGGAGGAAGGGATGAAGGGAGAAGTGGAAAGAAAGCAACTTTAACTTCAAATGTGTTCTCCAAACCCCTCCACATCCCCACGCTAGCCAGCTTGGCTTGGATAGGGGATTTAAGGAGACAAAGGCCTTCTCCACCTGCCGGCGCGGGGGGGGGGGGGGGGTTGGGGTTGGTTGAGAACGCATTTAAAGTTGATTTCTTTCTCTGCTCCCCTCCCTACACCTCAAGCCTACCCAGGGAGGGGAATACTGGCTGGAGAAGGGAAGACCGATGGGGAGGCATGCCTCCCCTTTGCTTCCCCAGCTGCCTTGCTGGGAACCACACAATATGTGTGAAAGAGCCGCATATGGCTCCCGAGACACAGTTTGGCCACCCCTGGCCTAAGGTATGTTTCTTGTATGGGGGAAAAAAGTGCAAGCAAGAACAACCTCAGCTTTGGGCAAAAATGTTTAAACTGTTTGAACTCTGCCATTTTTGATCATTCTATCTGGAATTTGGCCATTGTTCCTGTTGCTTTGGGAGTTTTTTCTGTTCTGCACGTGTAACAAACAAACAAAGTAAACAACAAAGGAAGTAACAAACACCTCTGGTATTACATGGCTTTATGTCTGCCATATCTCCCTGCAGATTTAAAATGCTGGTTTTTATGCCAGATATACAGTAATGCAATATCGAATCGACCACTAGATGGAGCAAAAACATGCAGAACAGGGGGGGGACCCCAAAGCAACAAGAACACGCAAGTGAGGAAAGTGAGAATGCAGAAAAGCCCATTAACTAGGTAGGCTTTCGCTTTGCTAAATTTCAGGCCAAACAACAAGAACGCGCCGCTTGGGTGCTGGTAGGTAGTCCCTCCCCCCATACGAATTGTGGCCCTAGGTAGGAATCAACTAGCATATATATGTAAACCGCTCAGAGACCCTCCGGGGTCAAGGGCGGTATATAAATCGAATGTAATAAATAATAAATAATAAAAGACAAAATTAGTGGATTTTATGAGGAACTGAACTTTCTCCCCCTCACCATGATGGAATGGTGCAGCTCCCTCCGGGAATGATGCCATTACCATAGAAAAAAATAGTCTAGGCAGAATTCAGATGTGGAAAGTAATGTTGAAACCAGGTCTCAGAATGTGATTAGGGTTAGGTCTGTATAATTGTACTAATTATTTCTCTGGGTTTTTTTTACAGAATACAAGGTAAGGAATACTGCTGGCCACTCTGGAAGATGTTGAGAATCCGCCCTTCCTAGCAAGGTTCAGTGTATTCCTCTTTTCTTCTTTAGTCCGTGTGAAAATAGTACCTCAAATATAGATACAAGTATGTACCCTTGCTTAAAGAAAAAATAGTCTTGCAGGATGGTTTTCTTAGACATAATGATTTTCTTTTTCTGCTATAACAGGTCTATTCCTATGAAACACTTATTGTAACAAACAGAGTTCGTGTAAAACTACCAAAGGATGTGGATCGAACCAAGCTGGAAGTAAGAACGGCATCTGCTTTTAATTTTTAAAACTGTTCAGCTCAAGTTATTGTTATTAATGGGCAAAATCCCCCCATTTTGATTTGGCAGAGGCTCAGATAACAGGAGTTATTTTCCGTTCCAAAACTCAGGACCCCCCCCATGTCCCCAGTGACATCACGAAGAGGGGGACGGAGCTCCCCGCCCCAACCAGCCCGTCGCTTTTGCTGTGCTGCAGCCTCCCTTCCCCCAAAACACACTGAGGGGTCACTCGCTGTAGGCCTGGGGGTGCCTGCCCAGCTCCCACTCCGCAGACCTCTCCTGCCCGGAGAGGGCAAAGGGCCAGGGACACGGGGACAGGTCGTCTTCCATATTTCCTTGGGACATCAGATACCCTGGAAACCACAACCCCCCCTTTTTTTTTTTGCACATTGGACTCTGCTCTATAGGAAACGTGTCGTTATCTGGCTCAGAATATGACTGCTTAGTTCAGTGGTTCCCAAAGTGGGTGGTGCCACGCCTCGGGGGCAGTGGAATGACATAGGGGCCGCTGTTGGAAACCGGATGCAGGGCACCCTATAGGGAACATAGAAACCTGTGGAACCGGGGAGTCCCAGTCTCTGTTCTTTATTGCTATACAAAGAAGAAGAAGAGAATAGAAGAGATTGGATTTATACTCCGCCCTTCACTACCCAAAGGTGTCTCAGAGCGGCTTACAAATTCCTTTCCCTTCCCCTCCACACAACAGACACCCTGTGAGGTAGGTGGGGCTGAGAGAACTCTTGACAGAAACGGCTCTTTTTCAAGAACAGCTGTGCCAGAGCTATGGCTTGCCCAAGGCCATCCAGCCAGGTGCAAGTGGAGGAGTGGGGAATCAAACCCGGTTCTCCCAGGTTAGAGTCCGCGCACTTAACCACTACACCAAACTGGCTCTCAGCAACAGCCCAACCTTATGAATAATTTTAATGTTTCAAGGTGATTAAAGCTGGAAGAGGGCACTCCTTGAGCTACATTACCCAGGAGCACAAAAAGTATGAACAGTTTCTAGCGCAAAGAAAAAAAAATCTGAGTTGTTCTACTTCAGTTGTTGTTCAACACATGCTTGACATTTGGCCAACACACAATCGAGCCGGGCATAATTCCAGGCGGATCGTGGGACGAGTGGCCTGCCTTCCGTGCAGAGGGGTCTCCTCGGGCCCATCAGTGGCGGGGGCGGGCTCTTTGTCCCGCCTAGTTCAGCAAGCCCAGGCCCTCCTACTTCCTGCTTCCGTGCTCAGCATTTCTTGCTGCCACCAGTGATGGCATCGCCTGGTCCTGAACTGGCCCTGGCAGAATAAGGCCTGTTGCCAAGGAGGGCGAGCAGAGACAGTTGGGGCGGGGGGGCGGGATGAGGAAACGCCGGGGCAGATAGAGTAAGCAGCCTTTGAAAAGGTAACAAAGGGCAAAAGAAGGGGAACACGAAGCGGATGAAGCAGGGTAGCGGGTGCCAGTACAAAGAGTTGGGAGGAAGGGGAAAGGGCTTAAAAGTAAATCTGGAAAGAAAAGAGGGTCTGACATCACGTGCAGTGCCTGAGCAAGGCAAGGCAAATGTGTGTGTGTGTGGGGGGGGAGACAACTGAGACCCAGGGGGGGGGGTCCTGGTTGGTGACAGAGATCCTGCAGCAGGAAGGCTCCCGTCATCTCTGGCCAGGGGAAGCACCTGCTGCTTCAGGACTGGACACTGTTCCACCTCCAGGGCTAAGCCCATTGATGCTCGGGATTCTGCTGCTGAGGATTGCGCTGTTTAATGTAGAAGCACTAACCTTTATCCCAGATACAAAGCCCCTTCCCCACCTCCAGGAGAGGAGAGGACAGGAAGCAGTGCATGTGCGAGGGATCTATTCTTAAACAGCACTAGAGGGCACAAATTACTGGATCTAAAACCCGTCTCACCGCTAGTTGAGGAAATGCTTTTTCACTGTATCTGAGGAAGTGTGCGTGCCCACGAAAGCTTTTAACTTGAATAAACTTTGTTGGTTTTAAAGGTGCCCCCACTGGACTCAGACCTTGTTCTGCTGTCTCACCTCCGAAGGTGGATTGCTTATGTTGTAGCCTCATCTCCCAGTTGCCACCTCATCCTGTCAAAGGCAGACAGCTTTTCTTGCCCCCAGACCTGTGAGAGCGTTTCCTTCAGAGGACCCGTGTTGTTGGCAGGCAGCTGTCTCCCAACAATGGTCATGTTTGTGGAATGCTCCATGGGGCTGGCCCATAGCTAACGTGGGGCCCACGGGGCCTGGCCCCCTAGTATTTCTTCTGGGCCCCCTCCTTCCTGGCCTGCCCCCAAAGTGCCCCGACATGCCACCTGCATTGTGCTTTGATTTAATTAGTTGGCGCCCCCCCAAGGCCCCCTCCCAAAAAAATTTCTAGCTACGGGGCTGCATGGGGGCTTCCAGACCACACACAGTAATCAGCTGTTTTTTAGGAAAATGAATTAAACTGCTCATCATGTCTTTGATCAGTAAAACTAATTCTCCAGTAGCAGAATCTCTTTTATATTGAACATCTTATGTATGATCGTTTCAGTGATTTCCAAAACAAGAGGAAAATCTGTTTCAAAACTCTACTTCTGTATATGTTGTAGTATACACCTTTTCAGAATACAGTTTTTATGCTGCTTTTGTGTTTTATTTTTCAAGCGGCACCTGTCCCCTGAAGAGTTCCAGGAAGTCTTCAAAATGAGCATTGAACAATTCGACCGTCTTGCACTTTGGAAACGGAATGAGCTAAAGAAAAAGGCACTGCTTTTCTAGCATCCTACAGAAAAAATATGCTTGGAGAAAACGAAATACATTTGCCACAACTTATCGTATGCACTGGCTGTAGTCCATTTGTCCAGATTCACGGTCTGAGGTCGACACACAGGGCACTTTGCTGGATTGGCATGCCCCCGGTGGCTCTGTCTCCGTGACTTCCGGGCCCTTAACAAACACAATGAGCCTAGTTTTAAGTTAATTCTTGTTTTAACTATTCCTTGGTGGAAACCAATAATTTCAAGGAGAAAGGAATTGTTATAGTTTTGACAGCAACAAAAAGCCACTACCACCATTTTGTTTCCTGAGTGTACAGAAGACCCTGTGTTACCATGAAGCAAATGGAATAAAGCCAAAGAAGAGCATGCTGCACAGTCACTCTTGCAAATGGTTGTGAGACGTATTTTAGAAATTAAAAACAAAAGCTATCTAAAGCACCTTAAGTCTCATTCTCTCACATATATACAAACCACAGTTTCACATGGGAAGTAGAAAATGGGAAAATACTTATCAAAAGTTTATTTTTGTAAGATTAGAGTGTAATGCACCGTGTTGGGAATACCATACATGTAAGCAGTTCAACCTACAACCCAGTTTAGATGAAGTACCTGATTTATAATGCTTGAGCTTAGTAAGACAAAATTCCCTTAAATGTGAGTACTTCAGGATTCACTAGAATGTAGTCCGTGTAGAAGTTCAATTCACAGAAGTAACTAAATTTTTGTGTGGAAAATGTGCAATGCTGGTTGTGTATTTATATTAATTCTACATTTCATGCTGGTAAAAAAAAGAGGTGTAAGTAATCTTGATTCTATACTCCCACCAATGTCTGCATTAAAAATGTGGGTTTGTAAATGTGACACAGTTTGGCTCGTTCTTTGTTCCATTTAAAAAGGGGCTGTGGTCTTTGTAAGCCTTTGGGGACAAGGTGCCCCCCCCCTTTGGCCCCTCTTCTCTCCCCCATGCCGTGTCTCCTTTCAACTTTTCTCTCCTTCCCCTCATTATTTGGACAGAATTGGATACTGCAGCACAAAAAATATTACTTGTACAAGAATACTGGAAAGTTTTGAAGACAGCACTGTTCTTCCATAAAATGTACTTGTACAATAGGAACCAAAGCAGAAAATCAGTTATTTTTGTTTGTTTTGTTTGTTTTCAGTAGCCTCCTTCAGTTTGCCCGCAGTAAAAAGAAGCAATAGTACTGAATGTCCTTAATTTTGTGAGGAAGCAATCACTGATGAAATTATTTAGGTCAGGAGCTCAAAATGGTAAGAAAATACAAGTGTATTAAGATCTGTATGTTGGATTTCAAAATTTAATTTCCCAATAAGAACATAAGAGAAGTCATGTTGGATCCTAAGTAAACTCAGCAGTCATGGGATAAGAGGACAAGTCCTCTTGTGGATTAAACCCTGGCTAATTAGCAGGAAACAGAGAGTGAGTATAAATGGACAGTTTTCTCAGTGGAGGGTGGTAAGCAGTGGGGCACCGCAGGGCTCAGTACTCAGTCCAGTGCTCTTTAACTTGTTCATTAATGATTTAGAGTTGGGAGTAAGCAGTAAAGTTCTAAGTTTGTGGATGACACTACGTTGTTCAGGGTGGTGAGAACCAAGGAAGACTGTGAGACTCTCCAGAGGCTGGGTGGGTGGGCGTCAACATGGTGAATGAGGTTCAACATGGGCAAGTGCAAAGCAATGCACATTGGAGCCAAAACTCCTAACTATAAATATATGTTGACTAGGAAAAAGGCCCATTGTGGAAATAAATACAGCGGCCTCTAGAAAGAGGCTCTGGGCGGGTGCCCCGGCCTTGGACACTCAGTGTCAGTTTGCTGTGGCGACCTCAGCAGGGTAGAATGACACTGAGTCCACCATTTTCTCCAGAGGAACTGATCTCTGCTACCTAAAGAACAGTTGTAATTTTGAGTGATCGCCAGCCCTCACCTGGAGATTGGCAACGATGGGTCCCCAGAAGGGACTAGTTGGTTTGGAGGGTGGAGTCTATGGCTTTGTACCTTTCTGAGGTCCCATACCTCCTGAAACCTCACCCTCTCCAAGCTCCATCCCTCACATCTCCAGGAATTTCCCACCTGGAGTTGGCAACCCTATCTCCTTCCCAGACAATCATCAACCTACCTTTATTTCCCCCTCACTCTTCAGCCTTCCACCCCTCACACACCTGCAGCCTCTCCCGTGCTCTGAAGCCCTGACTGCTATGTCACATTGGCTGTCAAACGGGGGCCACCTCAGCAGCATATAAGGATACAGAGCCCACCATTTTCTCCAGGGGAACTGATCTCTGACGTCTGGAAAGCAGTTGTAATTCTGAGGGATCTCCAGCCCTCACCTGGAGATTGGACACATTTTACCTCAGAACAGCAAAACTGTTTAGAATGTTAGAGGCAAAAGCAAATCAAGTCGCATATGCAAACGACCTCTGTGTTCCAAGGCAGAGGCCAATGAGGCTGCATATGCAAATAACCTCTGTGTTCTGACTGGCTATGGGGGGGAGAGGAACAGCAAAATGTTTAGAATGTTGGAGGCAGGACTCAGGCAAAGCAGCCAGTGGATAGGGAGACCCTCTGAATGACAGATCAGAGAGCAAACTGATTTTGGAGCGTGTGGAATGTTCTAGAGAAGTGCCACCACCATTCGGCTATTATTTATAAGGGAGATGGGGTCTGAACTGGCGGTAACTGACCAGGAGAGAGATCTTGGGAGTCATGGTAGATAACTCACTGAAAATGTTGACTCAGTGTGCAACTGCAATTAAAAAGGGGATTATTAGGAAAGGGATTGAAAACAAATCAGCCATTATCATAATGCCCCTTTATAAATTGATGGTGCGGCCTCATTTGGCATATTATAGCATTGGGAAAGGTGCAGAAAAGGGCAACTAAAATAATTAAAAGGACAGAACACCTTCCCTATGAAGAAAGGTCAAAGATGGGTGCAAAACACACGGCCCGTGGGCCGGATCTGGCCCACGTAGGGCTCAAAACTGGCTCCCCAAGCAACTTCGTTCTCCTGCTTCCTTTCCCAGGGCTGCTCCTGCAGTTGCACCCTGGCTTGCTTTTTCCCCAGCTCTCTCTCTCTGCTTCCTGTTTCCTGCCTCTTGCCTCTCTTTCTCTCTCTCTCTCTCTCACACACAGAGGCTCACAGAGAGCTCCATGGCTGCTTCCTGCTTCAGGCAGTAGAGATACAAAGACAGCCTGTCTCTCTCTCTCTCTCTCTCTCTCTCACTCACACACACACACACACACACACACACACACAGAGAGAGAGATTCAGCTTCGTTCTCCAGGGCTGCTGCTCCTCTTTTGGGGAGGAAAGAGAAAGAGAAAACAAAGTTGGAGTCCCATGGCAGCTTCAAGACCAACAATGTTTTATACCAGGTATAAGTTTTTGTGTGCAAGCATACTTCTTGGGAGGGAAGGAGAGGGTGGGTGGATTTTTCTGACAATGTACATTGAGGAAATTATTTTATTCTGAAAAGTTTGTTTTTTTTTAATGATTGGATTTCTCTGTTCCAAAAAGATCCTGATTAGGAATTAGAACACATGGATTGTTCCTTAGATCTTGGAGAGAGCAGTGATTTCAGATGCCAAATGATAATAGCACACAATGGTAATGAGACAGGAAATGTCTTGAGCTTCATTATCAATTACAATTCAGCAGTCTCTCTTTCTAATCTCCCTTTGAAATTCCTCTGTAAGAGCACTGCTGCTCTTAGGTCAGCAACTGAATGTTGTGGTTTCTAATGTCAGACTTATGTCCACTTATTCTCTGCATCCTTCTGGACTGAATCCTCCTGGATGGAATTGAGACCTAGGTTTCCTGTCTCATTACCAATGCCGATATCTCCGCACCATCTTCTCCTCTGCATATCACACCTAATCCAATCATGCCTTCTATTGCCATTTGCATCTGAGATCATCTTTATAAAGTTTATATCTCTGGTACCTCTTGTTAAATTTTATAGCACGCATGGCCCAACCCAACAAAGTGCCATTTATTCCAGATTCGGCCCTCATAACAAATAAGTTCAACACTTCTGGGAAAAGAGGTTAGTGCTTTTTGCTTGGACATATGACAACTGAGAGGTAGCATGACAGAGGTTTACAAAATTATCCATGGGATAGAGAATGTATGCAACTAATTTATGCAGCAGCCAAATCGCTCGCTCACCACTTTAGTGCCAGTAGCTCACAGAGTAGAATTTTTGCTCACAAGACTCCAAAACTTAGAGGGAGCATTGGTCTCGGGTAGGTATCTCTCTACAGTCCGTGTCTCCCCCCACCCCGGTTCCGAACATCGATAATGAAATCTCTCCTGACTCCAAAGCCCGACACGGGTGTGAAACAGGACATGCTTCAAGATGGAGAGGTGATGTGAGAACCACCTTCAAGTCATTGGAGGATGGCACAGAGTTGTTTTCCGTGGCCCCAGGAGGTCGGACCAGAACCAGCGGGCTGATATCAAATCGGAACAGTTTTCGGCTAAACTTTAGGAAGGACTTCCTGACAGGTAGAAAGGGAAGGAAGGGTGGCCTCCGTCCTTCGTTCTTGTGGCCCTTTCTGACACGCCCAGGGGAAGGCTGGTTGCCACTCTGGGGTCAGGAAGCAATCCTGGGGGTCCCGTCCAACTCTTCGATGACCCTAAGATGACGTTTGGGCAGTGGGGACTGGATCCTTCTCCAGGAGGGGATCTTTCCCCCCCATGCAGGGATAATTCAGAAGAATAAATGGCAGGCGCTTCAAAAATGCAACACCCCCCCTGCACGCATGTGCACAAACACAACGGCACACGGGCGCCCCTGAAGCAGTGCAGTTCAGGCAAGACGACACTGCACCTACCTGTCCAAGAATTAACCAAGCCCCCATTTTCAACGACAGCTTTTCTTTCCTCATCTTTGCCCCGATTCCACCAAAAGAGCCATCTCGGTTTGTGCAATAGTTTCACATTAGCCCCCCAGTCTCCCTTCTCTCAACGGCTTCGACCAGTCCTGAGCTTCACTCCGATGGAGCCCCCCCTACCCCCCCCAGCCCAGGAGGCCTCCTTCTTATCCCCTTAAGTGCCGGGCC